ACCTACTGCCTCCTAGGTGCATACTGCAGAGAAAATAAGGCATTGCATTTCTAGCCAGCATAGCCACAGGAGAACTGTGGTCCATGACAGTGCTTTTCAACCGGTGGTACGTTGGCATCTGGCAGGTGGTACGCATACGACGGGTTGAACAGCACTGTAAAAAAAATGTTTAAAAAGTGTAAAACTGGATGAGGTGAAGTGGCAGCAGCGCCGCACAGGCTTGTGGGAAAGTCAGCTGGAACTGCATGTTGCCTGGGTCCTGCAGAGAGCCCAGGATCAGCGCGTGCAGCTTCAGCTGATTGGGGGTGGCAGGCAGCCTGGCGCAGTCTTCAGGCAGAGATTCAGCTGGAGCTGAGAGAAGCATTGCCTGGATCCTGCTGAAGGGGAAAGAAGAGATTATATTGAAGGGGGTGGGGGAAGAGATATTGAAGAGGGTGGGGGAAGAGATGATATTGAAGGGGGTGGGGAAGTGTGTGTGTGTGTGTGTGAGAGAGAGAGAGACAGAGAGAGAGATCCCCTTTTTAAAAGTTTGCTTACTCTGCAACGCTTTCCTTTCCACACACTTTTGCTTCCCTGATGGCTCAATCTCTGTTTCTCTCTGCCGATGTGGGCAGCAGAAGCGTTTTCGAAGCCTCTGGAGCTCGCATCCATGGCCATGGGGCAATTTTATAGCGTGCCAGTGACCCAATCCGGGTGCTGGAGGCCTGGAAAAAGCTTCTGCCGCCCAGATCTGGGGCTGCAGAGTAATTTCGCTCCCCCCCACGGCCGATCTGGGCGGCAGAAGCATTTTCGAAGCCTCTGGAGCTCGCATTCATGGTCATGGGGCGATTTTACGGCATGCCAGTGGTGTGATCCAGGTGCCAGAGGCCTGGAAAATGCGGCGGGGGGACAGCGGCAGCAGCACGATTCGCACAGTGGGGGGGCAGCAGCATGTGATCCACGTGGCGGGGGAACAGCAATGACAGCCCAATCTGCGCGGCTGTTGGGGGAAAAGCCGCCAGCGGCAGGGCGATCTGTGCAGCAGGTGGGGGATTTTGCGCCCCCCCACGGCCGATCCAGGTGGCAGAGGCTTTTTCCAGGCCTCCGGAGCCCGGATCGGGCCGCTGGGGCACCGCAAATATCACTCCGGAGGCTTACCTGGACTCATGCTGGCAGCTGCCTCCACCATCCAGCCCGGATCTACCCAGCTCTTGCAGTTGTTGCCTGGCTCTCATTGCAGAGAGAAAGAGAGCCGAGAGCGCAGGTGCACATGGAGAGGCAGAGGGGAGCAGTCTGGCCCCGCTTCCCTCAGGGCGATGGCCCGCGTACCCACAGGGACGTCTCTGCGTGCTGCCTGTGGCACGCATGCCATAGGTTTGCCACCACGGCACTATACTGTAGAAAATAGTTCAAGTTGAATTTCCCTTACAATCAGGTGGAGGTTCTAGGGGCCATGCTAAATCATTGGGCTGATATAAAGAGCTTGAGAAACATTGGCTGTCCATCCCAGGATTGTTCCTTTCCTTTTGGCCAATGTGCTGAATAGTAGTGATGAGCTTCAGCTGGTCCCATGTTCCCATTTTGATTTGATGGCAATATTCAGTTATACTGGCTTGCTAAAATCTGTGCCTTTACACATGCCTGGGTGATTTGGCTGAGGAATAGCATCTCCTCTCTAACATTTGCCATAAAGCCTGCATATTGCTATTAATATGCTGGGGCAGAAATGAATCTGAGATACAGTAGAAAAGGAGAGGGAAATGCATCCTAATTTTCTGGAAACGATTGCTTCATTACTGAAATGAATATCATTTGCACACTGTTCAAACAAATCAGCTAAAAAGGTCTCACAAAAACAAGATTACTGATGATTGCACACGTGCTTTCTTTACCAGAGTTACATCCTAAACATCTTTTAAAAAAGAGAGAGAAAAGTAAATTGATTCATGAGTAAAAGCCCAGTTGCTTCAGTTAGACAAAGTATTAGATTCAGGATTTCTGGAAAGATCAGTTGCACCATTTACGTAAAATGTAAAAACAAAAAACCTTCAACCAAACTAAAGCAAAGAATTAGCTGTTTCTATTGGTTTAGCTGGAAGGTGGTTTTCTTTCCCACCCCTTTTACTTAATGATCAAGTCAGGTGATCAGAAACTTGGGTTTCCTTTAGTTTGCATTCAATTAGAACCTGTGAATACCAGAGACAGAGAATGCCCCATGGTGAACAGAGGTATTCCCAAGCTGGAAAGGTGTTTGCTCTTTCCATTTTACAACCAGTGCTCTTAACAGGGACAGTAGGAGATATGAGCTTAAATTTACTTATTTCCTTACAATCCAAGAATCCCTTTATGGCTCACAAGTAAAAGTTTAAAAGGCCCCGTTCTCTTATGTGATTGCCTAATGACAAAGCAAAACAAAAGCCAAACCCTTTCTTGGCAGCATGTGTTCGAAGTAGAGCTAGGCACATTATGAGAATTCTTTGTGGAATTTCCATCAGTCCTAATAAGATAGTCCTTGTTTAGCAAAAGCCTCATTTAGCGTCTGTGCACAATTATGATGGTGATGAAAAAGTAACTTTGCAAACAATCATCGTATTTATGATCTTCATGGATAAAGCAAAGGAAAGCTGAAATAATATCATAAGCACTTTTGCAATTTTACTTAGTAACAGCTTTGCTTAATGACTGAGTTGCCAATCCCGACTGTGGTTGCTAAATGAGGACTACCTGTACTGATTTAGACTGAAGAATTGCTATGGGAGCAGTAGGAAAAAAGTTCTGTCTTATTTTATAGTTTTATATTGAAAATTATCCTTCAGGTTGTTCTAACCTATTCTGAGGAAAAATAATGTCACTTATTTTTAATGATAGTGAAATTAGTTAGAAAAAGTAATCTTAAAAGTTGAAAATGCAGAGAGAGAAAGAGTTAAAAAGCTTGTCATATTCTTTGAAATTTTCCACAAATAATAAGAGAACTGTAGTAAATATACAAATTGACTTGGAAGGGCTGTAAATTGTCTTTCCCTAATCTGGTTCTTTCCAATTGTTCAAGAATAGCAGTCTACAGAAATTTCCATTAGTGAAGAATAAAATATGGCAAAGTTGCAACTTTTTTTTTTCAGGATAAGGGCCATAGTTGAGTGATGCTACGGGCCAAATTAGAGCTAACAACAACAAAAATCCTCAAAAAAATTTATGGTCATTTGTGTGCAATTGAAAATAATATCATTTCAGTAATATACCCCAATTAATATACTTATACTTTTTTTCTGTCACATTAAACATTTCAAGCCCATTGCAACTTTCTTCAAAGCTGTCTCAGTGTCAGCCCTTGGAACATACATTGTACCTCACTGCACTCAGTTTACTCCTTTCATCTTATCTCATGTTTGGTCTCAATATTTGCACTGCAGTGAGTGATTTTTTTGAGGCAAAGTCCCCTGCCATTCAAGCAATCAGCAAAACATTCAATAGCTTTCCATAGAAAGTTAACTGTTTTCTGCAGCATTCTACTCTACCATCTTACAGTCTGAAAATGATTTTGAGTAACTGAATTAATGAGATCTTTCTCTAGTTGCTAAAAATAATGATATATAGGATTGACAATGAAGTTGCCTGTAAGAAATAGGAGCCAGCATGACTACCAAGCCTAGCAATATTTTTCTGTTGCTTTTTGATTTATGATGTTCTATCTTTTTTTATTCTGTCTCTGTGCAACCACAGAACTCCTGTTAAAACAGGAATAAAGCACCTATTCTAACCCATTGTAATTTTGAAAGGTCATTAAGCAATTGGTTATAACTTGAGGACTACCCGTATATCTCCAGTTGCAGATAAATGAATATTATTTATACAGTATCTGAATTTTTCAGTTAGCATAATTTCTTGTATATTTATATTTGTATTCTGCAGCTATTTTTAATACAACTATAAAGTTGCAGTGAAGTTTAAAAAATTAGATTAGATAGCAATGTGGGAAGAGATGCATGGCTGCTACATTATCTGTACAATGACCGATAATGTTCCATATGATACATGTATGTCTCTTGATAGGTTAGAAAACAAGAGATTTTTGTGGCATACTCATGTAGTGTTATGTCACGTTTATAACAAATACTTTGCTGTACCAGAAGGTTAATATCTCATGTGCTGGCTTAGATTGCAGCTGCTTATTCTTTTTAAAATTTCTTAAAAGAGAATGTAATTATTCACTTGGAAAAATGGAACTAATATTTAATATCATATATCCATATAGCTAAGAATTGTTAAAGTTTAAGGTTAATAGGATAGTTGATTTCTGTGGTCAGTTCTTTTCTCTAAATATGACATACCAAATATTTAGCACAATTGAGACACAGTGAGAGGACATGATGCATCACTTCAGCAAATGCTCTGTTAATGATTAGAGGAAATTGAGTAACAATGTGCAATAAGTACAACTAGGATTTGGAAAACTAATGAAAAATTCAAAATCTCTTGAAGAAGAATATTGGGACATGTTTTCACTCAGAAAGAATTAACAAATGTTCAAAATGTTTTATTAAATTTGGAAGTGTGAACATTTGATTGCTTGAAAACATTCTGTTTTCAGAGCTGTCTTTATATTTATGTTTTGAACCTAGGATTTATAAATAATTTATAATTTATACACATTTAAGTATATCTGACTTTTATGCAAAGTTTCTATCACATATATTATTTCCTTCATCTCTGTAAATATCTGAAAATGTGAAATTTGCAATAACTGAAGACTGAAATTTCATTAAAAGTGCTCCTGTTATGCTTGTGATGATTTTTTTTTTCAATTTGTATTTGGATTGAATGAGGGAATTGTTCAGTAAACAAGACAAATATTTCATGAAGTTATTTTCTAGATATCCACTGAATCTGAATGGTAGCAAGGGTGGGCATTTCAAAAGGGGGCTGGCCTAAATTGTTGATCAGATTACATAAAAGAATGCACTAGGAAATGCAACTTATTTTATCTCAGGATATTGGAACAGGTGATATTTGGTACTAGAGTCATGACTGGATGTCCCTTTTGGAAGAACAAATACCAGTAAGTACATTTCTCTTTTTTGTTAATAAGATAGAAATCAAAATAGATATTTCAATAAACAAAAATGAATGAAATGGATATATAAGTAACTATAATAATTTTAAATAACCCTAGAAGCACTGGTTTTTGGAACCCTATTTTTATTTTTATTTTTTTTGCAGTGCCTTTAATTGACAAAAACAGAATCAGTCTTGTTGTCTTAGTACAAATTCAAATAATCAGCAAATTGATGTAGCCTGTTATATAGTTCTCTTCTATTGGCAATACTTAGCTCTGTTATCATTTCTTTATTCATAGATTTAATTTTAGTAAATTGGCTTTGGAAGATGGGGCAGATGACAAATCACAGGAAGGCTTAAACAAGGCTAGCAAAAGTGGTCTTATCTATGGAGACTATCTACACGTAAGTATGAGATAGTGGTACTGTTTAAAAACTGACTAATCTACAACTGAATATTTCTGCAGTAGCTCTTTAAGTATGTTTTATGATTCTGAAATTCTTGATTATTGTAATTAATCTTCAAAAGACATTCAAGTTTTAGCTACAGATACTTAATCTGTCTCAGTAACCCCAATAGGAAATAAGCACTTGTCCCCCCCAATCCCAAAGTGGTTCACCCAAGCAGCTGGGTGGTTACGGGTCCTATTTTATAAAGGCCAGTGTTCCATTTGAAGACTTGTTTCCAATTAATTGCAGGTTTTTTTTGATGATTCTCCATTCTAAGTCTGGTTTATAATAGCACCTAGACCAGTGATGGCGAACCTTTTAGAGACAGAGTGCCCAAACTGCAACCCAAAACCCACTTATGCATAGTCGAGTGCCAGATAGATGTGGCCCATTGGCTGGGTGTGGCCCATTGGGTGGGCTTGGCCCATTGTGTGGGCGTCGCTGCGGTGGTAACGGCAGACTGGGTGGGACTAAAAAGTTCAATCAATCAATTCCAACTTTGCAAGATCTTTTTTTCCCCGTGAGAAGTTGAAATTGATTGATTGATTGATTGATATATTTTTTTTGCACACGGCGGCAGAGGCCTAAAGTGAAAAGGTTTTATAAAACCCAGCTGAAGGCCTAGGACTGGGGTGACAGCGCGCGTGCCCACAGAGAGGGCTCTGAGTGCCACCTCTGGCACCCGTGCCATAGGTTCGCCACCACTGACCTAGACTGCAGCATGTATAGTTCCACTAAGTTATGATGAGATGCATTGTATATGATTTGTGCTACTGTATTTTTTTCTTAAATGGTGCAAAAGCTAATTTATCTACTGCAAGCATATTGTTCACAAAATTTTTAAAAATCAGGAATGATCAGTCTTTGTAACCTAATGTGAACTACCATTCCCCCCCCCCAGCAAAATATATTTTGAATATTAGCATATTGGATTTGTAACAGAAGAATATGTTAGGCTTTGCCAGTTGTACTATAGATAACAGTCATGGATTTTTTTTTTAAAAAAGATAAGATGGCAATGAAGTCTTCATGGGGCAGGAGAAAAACACCATGTTATGCTTTTATTTTTAAATTATTCATCTTTTTCCAGCAGGGTTTCCCTGCCAGACAAAAATCAATAATAAAAAAATATTGAAAAAGCTCTATCAGTAGAAATGCAGCTTGAACAAACATGTTCTTATCCAAATCCATAATCCCCTACATTACTTTTAGGCTGAGAGTCACTTTTATTGACTATTGGGTTCTCCTCTCTCTCCCATCCCCCAAATTATTCTTGTACTGCTGCTGCTGTGGCGTTATTTTTCAGCAGAAAATGAGGTCTATTTGATACCTAATTACATTAACGTGGGGAGGGGGCTGCAATAATTTTGCCACGTTAAACATTAGTGCTGGCTCAAAAATACATGGTATTCCTAGCCAAGTTGATGATGGCACCATCTCCTTCCAATGTGATCATTTGCATTTTTAGAATGATTCAGAGAAAGGAAAGCATTGGTGCTTCCCAAACTTTGGTGTCCTTGTCACCCTTAATCTAAGGGTAGCCCTATTAAATATATATGTTTAAAGACATTGTATGTATGGGCACAACTTTAAAGCTGTTGTTTTCAAAATATAAAAGACTGATTATCAAAACTGAAATGTGAATATTTAATAAAGATATTCATTATGTGATTCAGAATTAATGACATTATCTGCAGAATTATTGCAAGATCACCTTAGTTTTCTTTCTTATAAAGCTGGATAAAATATTGAATGCACAGGAACTTCAGAGTGAAAACAAGGGAAACAAAATCCATGATGAACATCTGTTTATTGTGACCCATCAAGGTAAATCCTAAATAATCTAGTTCATCTTATTATTTGGTGATTACAAATACATGTTTGCCTATTAATAAAAATGATTTGTTCTATATACTATTTAGGATAAGTAAAAGCATGTATAAAAACAGCTAATGTAACTCTTTAATTTCCATAACTATATCCTAGCTGAAAATGCTGATGAATAGTATTTGAATTGTCTTCAGACTTGGAACAATTCCTAGATTTCTTAAAACCAAAAAGGTTAAAATGTGTACTATAGGCAATCTTTCTAACTTATGCCAAAACTGCTAGGTTTGCAGAATGTAGAATATCTATGCAATATAAAAAAAATGCAAATAAACTGAAGTTCACTAATTAATTACCATTATTAATTCAGTTATTAATTATAGTTCAGGTATTTATTGTGCTTATTCTATTTTGTGATTTTAAAGCATGTACATGGACACAGATCTGATTCTGTTACATGTAAAATTATTTTGTATTTATGTTCTATACATGCTTTCAGGTTTCATTTCATTTCATCCATAAATTTCCCTGGCTAGGTTTACACTGGAACATAGGTGTTCCTAGTTTTGTTTTGCTAACTTTTTAAAAGTTATGGTATTTTTAATGTAGTAAAACCCAATATATGTCAGAATCCAATTACATTTCATTTCTAGCTACCTACTCTGAAAAAAACCCCATTTCTTACTCTCCCTGGATTCTGTCATACTACGAAAGGGGAGGAGGATAAGCAAGGGGTTTTTATGACTCTCACTTCCTTCATTAAACTACAAAGTGACTGGATGTTGATTCTCATCAAGAGGACTGACCATAACAATATGGCCATCGCCTTTCATCTATTCTCTCTCTGAAGTCTCCCTTTTGCCGACAGTGAGGGAAAAGGGGGGGGAACAATGCAACGCCTGGGATCTGGGAAAAGAGAGGATGAGTGATCGTCATCCAGAAGAACTGTGGGGTGGGGGCTGCTTGGGAACACTTAAAACATTGAAGGATGGGAGAGAATTCCCCAGATCCTGTCTAGCATGCCTGCAATCATTTTCTCTTAATAAAGATGCCTGTTGGAAAAGATATTCCAAGAGTTCTGTCTTCTTAAGATGTAAAGTGAGGTGGGTCCTTACAATATATGTATTTTGCATTAAGATATCATGCTGCAAAGTCTGTACTTTTTACATTTGTGTTATGATGTCACATGCAAGTACATAAGGGGAAGAGCTTTCGTTGTGAATCACAAAATACATTGCAAAATTTTCATGAAAACATTGGTGCTGATGCTCCTGCCTTAATATTCTAAATGTCATTCTGGAATGGAGATGTTACTTTCAAAACCTGTAAACTCAAAAAGAAAACCATGGGGAGTTTCTTTTACAAATGCAACAGTAAAACCTTGTACAGGAAAGTCTAGGGTTCAAATCCTCAGTCATCTAAAAACCATCAGAATAATCTTCAATTAAGCTATTTCACTGAGCCATTGTTGAGTAAAAGAAGGCTGAGGGGAAACATTGTCCACACTGATTTGGCATAATGGTGACATAAAGATAACTATTGATCCTTTTTCTATTAATGTTTATAATTAAGAAAGAAAGAAAGGACATCTGTGAGAGCATCCTAGGCATTAATGGTCTCCAGATTTTGGAGACTGGAGTATCTGGCCAAAATTATAGTCACGAAATGCATTATTTGACTAGTAACAGCAGTCATACAAAATTAGTCATTTATATACAAAGTGGCAGCTTTTTTAATTATCTGTCTGTTCTCATCTTTCTTGTGCTAAATTGTTTTTTTTAATAAGGACGCAGGCAACTTTAACAAACTTTAAATGACAGATACATTATTTATAACTAGGGGCAAATTTCTCAGCTATATGCTTCTCGTAGTGACAAACTTTTTCATACTATAATTTTCCTAAATAGAAATATTATCTGTATAGGGGACTGCAATTCAAATTATGGGTGGTAATTACAGAATGTAAACCTGCTGGAGAGCTGATGATTGCAAGTTTATGTACTGTTTAAATATTCAGATATGATTATTATGCTGTTTTCTCTTAACAGAATCATGGTGTGCTTGGTCTGATTATTATTATTATTATTATTATTATTATTATTATTATTATTATTATTATTATTATTATTATTATTATTAACATTTTCTGCACTGTGAGAGTACAACTAGCAACTTCTATTGATTTGACATTGTAGATTTTCAGATGTACATCTAAATGCCACTTCAGGGACAAATGGAGTTGTGTTTCTTTATAACATCATACTTTACTATAACATTTGTGCGCACATACTGTAGTTTTTATGTAGTTAGACTTTTTCAAAGAAGATGTTTGATTATTTGGCATAAACATTAAGATTGGGATTTTTGAGAAATGATGTGATTCTGATTTAAACCTTTGTATTCAGAGTGATGAATGTATGAAGAATAGTAGAGTGAACATCTACAGAACTTTTGCTCTCTATACTGAAACCATCAAATCTCAGCCAAAGTATTGAATTGGGCAGGAAAAGCAATTGGAAAAAAAATCAGGACAGAAAAGTATATCTACTTACAGCACTTTTGGCTTATTAAAGATATTATAAATATAGAGATGAGTCTGTTCATACACTTTTATTTATTGCTTGAAAACTGAACTAATGTTCCTTTCAATTCAGCTTATGAATTATGGTTCAAGCAGATCCTGTGGGAACTGGATTCTGTTCGAGTGATATTTCAGAATGGTCATGTAAGTAGAATAGAACTGTTTTATTTAAATTCCTCTTTGGATTCTGATTCTTATAAAATACAAATTAGATATTTGAAATTTGGATATTCTGAACATCTACAATAATCACTATTTTGGGATGTCAATTAGATTAAATCTCTAAATCTGTTATGACTGAAGAGCACAATTAAAATCCTTCTGACTGCAGTCCTATACACTCTTACCAGAAAAAAAAATCTTATTACTTGGAGGGAAATCCCATCGTACTCACTGATGTGTTCTGACAAAGAAAGAAGGACATGGCCTCATCAGGCAACAAGAGATGAAAATATGGAAATATCAAAATTGTGCCTGGAGGCTGTGAGGGACTAATGGATGGTGGATGGGGCAAAAGAAGCCTTGATTAAATCCTAGTAAGGTGGACTATTTGTAAATGTTATTAAATGACTGTTCTAATTCAAGCCATCTATTATGGGTTGTGATTTTGTTGTTATTGTTCTGCCTTATCAGCCAAGTCATAATATTTATTATATTCAAACTAAGGTGAGAGATGAAAGGAATATGCTGAAGGTGGTTACTCGAATGCAGAGAATTTCATTAATTCTTAAATTGCTTGTGGAACAATTTTCTGTCCTAGAAACAATGACAGCTCTGGATTTCTTTGATTTCAGGTACAAACATTTCAGGTCTTTGATTCATTTATATGTGCAGTTACTGTATTTGCAAAGGTCTTAAAATGAATTTATAAGAAACAAAATATGATAAAGAAGTATTTCAATCCTGGCTCATTGAAATGAGGAATGCTTGGTGCTCTCTGAGCTTGGTTGTTTTCTTGCAGACATTTTATTACCCAAACTAGGTAACATCATCAGTGCTAGTAAAGAGTAGGGTTTGCTCTCAGTTTATATTATAGTGACTTACCCTGTCAGTGTTGGTGGGAGTGGTCTTGGAAGTTCTTTGCTTGGGCTGTTTACTGTTAGCTTGTTTGGCAGTTCCTTGATTGGGGTATTGTATACTTCTTGATTGTTAATCTTGGAGTTAATCTATACTCATTTGGATGTTGATTGCTGGTGGGGAGGTGTTTTGGTCATTTTGTTCCCCTTTTCACTTGTTGATTGTCTCTTTTTCACAGTATATATTGTTTAAGTGTCTATTTATGGCTAATTTGTCAGAGTGCCAGGCTTCTAGAAAGGAATTCCAAACAAGCTAACAATAAACAGCACAACCAAAGTAGCTCCAAGACCACTTCCACCAATAATGACAGGGCAACCAGTAGACCAGGGGTCTTCAAACTTGGTCCTTTTATGACTTGTAGACTTCAACTCCCAGAATTCCTCAGCCAGGCATGCTGGCTGAGGAATTCTGGGAGTTGAAGTCCACAAGTCATAAAAGGGCCAAGTTTGAAGACCCCTGCAATAGACTATAAAATGAGAGCAAACTCCACTCCCTGCTAGAACTGATGATATTACCTAGTTTGGGTAATGAAACATCTGCAACGGAACAACCAAGCTCAGAGAGCACCAAGGGCCCCTCACAAAATACTCAGTATATTTCTATCAGAATTTGTAGTGATGATAACAGTAATGTATGAGCATTTCACAGAATTGAAGAATAGAGGTCTTTATCCTGACAGTATTAGAAATCTAGAATACAAAAAAGGAGAAATTACAAAGTAGAGAACAATGAATGCAGGGGAAAACAGGAAAGAAGGCAGGCAAGTTCAAACCACATATAGTTAGGCTTATCTGCAGGTGTAACTGGCAGGTCTGTGGTAAACAAAATAGATGCAACATTACTGGATGGCATCTAAGGTACACATTACCATATTTTAACAATGGCCAAACCTTACATGATCACCAACTCACATGAGATTTTAATGTTCCTGCATGGCATCACTGAAATCTCACAAATTTGCTAATCTAAGATTTCAGAAATCTTAAAAAATGGTGGGCTTTTTTTCCCTATTGTACAATTATGTTCAAAACCTTCTGAAGACAATTGGTTAATTGTTCTCACTGTTAGGAAGTTTCTCCTTAATTCTAGGTTGCTTCTCTCCTTAATTAGTTTATGTTTATGTCTAGGTCAACCTGAAATGGTCAATCTGAAGTGGTCAACTTCTGTACTACATCCTGCTACTTAGGAATTAGGCTAGAAACTTCACATGAAATGTGAATGACTTAACTTTATTCAAATCCTTTAGGAAAAATATGAATGCAGTATGAGTACTTTTATCCTTATTAAGATGTTCTGGATGGCATTCTGGATGTATTAAACCAAATATTAAGTAGTGAGTTTCAACTTAATTCCAGTTTGTATAAACACATACTGTAACTGGGCAGATATATTTAGAAATAAGCCTTACATGTGTGAGTCACTGCTGATTAAGCATACAAAGTGTCAAGAGACTGGGAGAAAGGCACTAAAATTGACCTGATTAAAATCAATGAGATAAGTTATTCAGGATTGACATAAGTCTAATTTATTTCCAAGGATATGATTCTATGCCACCCTGGAATTCTGTCCAGATTGATGATTCAATAACTTCATCATTCTTGAAGGCAAGAAAATCAAATGTGCTTTTTTATGCAGAATAATAAGTTACTGCTCTTTCTCCTATCTTTAAAGAGATTATCTGAGTCCAGCTTCAGGATTTCAGAGTTTACAGTTTCGATTATTGGAAAATAAGATTGGTGTTCCTCAGAATTTGAGAGTTCCATATAACAGAAGGCATTACCGGGATAACTTCAAGGGAAAGGAATATGAATTATTGCTTAAATCAGAACAAGAGCCAACACTACTGCAGCTAGTTGAAGTATGATTTTTCTCATTTACTATTTGGCTGGTCATGCAGTCTTGGGTTATGATTTGTTCAAAACTTTTTCTTTTTAAAAAATCAGGTCAGTTGAATTTAGTCACACTGGAATAGAATTGAATAGAGCTAGAAGGGACCTTGGAGGTCTTCTAGTCCAGCCCCCTGGTCGAGCAGCAGAACCTATACCATAAGTACCTAATCTGTACTTATATCTTTGATTTTTCCTGCCTAAAAGTAAAACTTTGCTTTTCTCCACACTAAAACTCATTTTGTTGGATAGGGCCCATTGTTCAAGTTTGTCAAGATCTTTTTGAATCCTGAGCTTATCTTCTTGGGTGTTGGCTATTCCTGCCAGTTTAGTATCATCTGCAAATTTGATGAGTTCCCCTTCTATTCCTTCATCTAAGTCATTGATGAAGATATTGAAGAGTACTGGGCAAAAGATGGAGCCTTGTGGTACCCCACTGCTTACTTCTCTTCATGTGGATGTAGTACCATTGAGGACTACTTGTTGAGTACAGTTTGTCAGCCAGCTACAAATCCATCTGGTGGTGATGTTGTCTATTCCACTTTTTTCTAGCTTACGAAGCAGTAGATAATAGGTATTGGTAGTGTAAAATATAAGGAATTAAAAACTGGATGGGTGTTTTGGTGGGATAAGGGAAGAAAGGCTGCCTAGTATTCTATCTTGTCTGTCTGTTGATGCTATGCTTTGCTATTGGCTAGTCACTAAGCATTGCTTGCTAATTCACACATTGCAACTAATGCAATCAGTTGATGTTCACTTCATTTTATTTTATAAGGCATGGCTGGCAAGAACACCAGGACTTGAACCAGAAGGATTTAATTTCTGGGGAAAATTTGAAGCAAATGTACTTAATGGATTAGAACAAGAATATGCAACAGTACAGGTATATATTCCAATTTATCATGTTGGCTTTAGATTAAAAAAGTAACTTTCCAGAGGTGGCCACCATTTGTAGCAAAATGTCCTGGTTGCAGTTTTAATAAGATACAATATTCATATGCATTGTATCTATATATATGTGTGAATTTCCATATGGATTAGTTTAAGCTTGCTGATGCATTTATTTATGCATGGACATCCATGGGCTCCGATTATTTTTGTTGAAATACTGAAAGCAGAATTACAGTGAAGATTTGGCCTTTTAGATATGCATGAAATGTTGCAACATGTATATAAGAAAGATAAGTCTTACATCATGATTGCACAATCATGGCACTGCTTTTATCATTTTGCCCTCCTTGACCATCCTCAGATGCTACTGGTGGGGGAGAACATTTATCTTATGGCAACACTGCATGAATGTCTTCTCAAATAGTTTAGTTCTCAAATGTTGGTGTGCTGTTGATAAGGATAACTTATTTTAACAAGTTCAGACACTGAACCAGATAATCTGACAAAATCTACAATCCTTATTTGGACATTAAACAGATAAAATACTCAAAACAAATTAATTCAGGAATGATTATATAGTTACAAGCAAACTGAGTTTTTAAGTGTGTATAAGGGAATGTGTTATTAATGTAATTATCTTCATGTTATAATATAGACTGGTTATTTATTTCTGTGCCCAAGTTTGTTTTTAGGATAACAGCCGTGCAGAATCAATAACGTCCATCCATATTTAGGATATTCCATACTCTTCCTAGTTGGTGCCTTCCAGATGTGTTGAAGGCTGCAGTCTTGGCAAAACTAGAGGGTCACATTAGAGAAATCTTATGAACTATCAAATGATCTATAAGCAGAGGCAGCCAAGTCTGCAATAGTTTCCATCTCATGCTGACATTTTTGTGTTTTATTTTAATCATACATACACACAAGAGGAACTGTGATTGTCATGAGTTAAACAGAGTACTTGTGGAAAAAAGCTCTGGATATATGAAATGCAAAGGGAAAATATTCCCCATAAATGCAAGTATAGCTAAGTAAAATGTTTTAAAAAAAGAATAATTGTCTTTGAAAGGCTAAAGAAAACTCCGAGGAAAAAGAAGATCAATTGGCAGAACTTCAGAAGCAAAAAGAAGTACTTATGTCATTATTTGATGAAAAACTCCATGAACACCTTCTTAGTAAAGGTAAGCATAGTAAAGGTAGACACAGGTAGTCCTCGACTTACAACAATTCATTTAGTGACTGTTCAAACTTATAAAGGTGACTTATGACCATTTTTCACCCTTACAACCACTGCAGCATCCCCATGGCTACTTGATCAAAATTCAGACACTTGGCGACTGACTCATATTTATGACAGTTGCAGTGTCCTGGGGTCACATGCTCACCTTTTGTGACTTTCTGACAAGCAAAGTCAATGGGGAAGTCAGATTCACTTAACAACTGTATTACTATAACTGCAGTGATTCATTTAACAACTGTGGCATGAACAGTTATAAAATGGGGCAACTTTCACTTAACAATTATTTCATTTAGCAACAGAAATTTGGGGCTCAATTGTGGTTGTAGGTTGAGGACTATCTGTATACATATTAGTATGAGCAGAAGTGGATTTTCAGTTTTTGATAGATAATATAAAACTTTCTGCATTAGAATTTCTGTATTATTTCCCACTTTTTAATTTTTGCAGGTGACAGAAGATTGTCCTATAAAGCAATGAAAGGAGCTTTAATGATATACTTCTATAGGTATGCAAAAAGTGTAATTGCGTCTGTAAATGGGTTTCCTAGTGTTGTTTCTTTACTGAAGTGTTTCATTTTTGTTTTAACATCCTTAACAAGCAGGATTAGGATTATTGAGAATAAGAAAATGAGTCCTTGCTTACCAACCATTTGTCCAGCAACCATTTGAAGTTACAACACTGAAAAAAATAAGTTTGCAATTCATTTACAACTATTTACAAACTTTGCTGCATCCCTTAGTCACCTGATTTGTGATTTTTAATCCCCCACCCGCCTTGCAGAGCAGAGATATTGCAAAGGAAAAGAGAGTAAGCTGTTTGCTGTTCTACACATCAAAAGCAGTGTCATTGTGCCAGCAACCCACAGAATGGGCTGTTTAGGCACTGACCCTTGGCCGCGCCCACTTTACCTCCAGCCACCCACCTCAGGCGATTCAAAGCCAGCTTTCCTCCTCTGATGGCCTTCCCCAGCCATTGTCCACCTCCAATGGCGCCCTAGCCCTCTGCCCCCACACCCTTCGTCCCTGCCCATTCGCCCAGGCACCATTTGACCTGGGCGTTTTGTGGCATGGGACAAATAGTCCCCAACCAATCGGGTGGTGGGTAGAAGCAATGGTGCTTCGGGGGGGCACTGTGTGATTGGCAGTGGGTGGAGTAGGGGGGTTGGTTAGGGTGCTATGCAAGATTTTTGTTTTAAAGCCCCGCGGCTGCTCCACAAGTTTTTTTTAAAGGGGCTGCACTTTCGGACCAATTGGGAGCTGTAGTTTTGATAGGTCATACAAACCTATTCCAAACTCTAATTTATACTTGCACACACAGGTAATCCTATATAAACATACACACGCCTCCCATGGACAATTTCCATTCTTCTCTCTCTCCAGAATGCTCTTTCTTCTCCCAACTCTGGATGCCTTCCAGGCAGTCTGTACTACAATTCCCATCCTCCCCCACTTCCTTTCACTGACACCTACTCTCGTCTCCCTAGAATGCAACTGGCCACAACACCCTTCCCCCACTAAGGGCTGCACCGGGCTGGCTCCTCCTCCCCTCTTTCATTTCCTGGCCTCATTGGAGCTGGCTGAGTTGCGAGCCAAGCTGTCCCTCTCTTCCTGGTCCCCGCCCCAACACACTCTCGCCTGTCTGTCTTTCCAATGGCCCCGGTTGCTTCTACTCCCACCGCCACTCCCTCTCCCTTTCAGTCCTGATGACAGATCTACGTGGCCCCGATCCAAACAAATTACTTCTCTAGAACTCTCTCTCCAGGTGATTTCTATAGGCAATCTCTCCATTGAGTCACCCCGGATTCCACCTTATCTAAAGCTATTAGTCAAGTCTTTTGCAAAGTGATCTCACACCCCACCCCATGCAGAGTATAGGAAAACAAATGGGGGAAAGCTGCACTAAAGCTTCATTTATCCAGTGCCTGTTTATGTTTATTTCAAAAGAATATAAATAAGAGTAGCAAATTCTGAGAAGCAAACTTGAAGTCTATTTTCTGTTTTCTCCTGGTTATTTTTAGCTATTAAACTGTAGCAAGGTTTCAAATTGCTTTAACTATTATGTTTATTCATTTGGATCTTCTTTTTTTGCCTTAACTGATAAATGGGAATTCAATCAACATTCTATTGTTTAAGAGAGGAACCTCGCTTCCAAATTCCTTTTCAGCTTCTTACTTCTCTTATGGATATCGATGTGCTAATGACTAAATGGAGATGTAAGTTCTTTGAGCATTTCTTTGATGCAAATAACCTTAATTTTCATTTCACATTGCCACTATAGTCAAAATGAAAGATATTTTCAAGGTTGATGGTCTACTCTAGGATTTTGTAACTGACTAAATATTTATTCCATCCTGGAGTGCCCTAGATTGTGAAAAGTTACAGGAGATGAGTACAATTGGCTTATAACTTCAGGCATCTGATACATTTGAAATACTCAGATATTGCTTCTGCCATGAAATTATCCACTTTTAGCAAATCATTTTATTTTAACCTTACTTCTGCTCATCTAGAATGGGGGATGATATCACAAAACTACCTTAGTTTTTTTTAAAAAAAATACAGCAAAATACTGTATGTGATAATATGTTGTGTAATAAATATATTCCAAAGTTGTAATCTTATACCCATTTTGGTAAATCTAGACTGTATTAAATCCTGTAGAACACACTTGTTAGACTTTTATAGGTATCCACTTTGAAATAAAATAGGTATGCATCTATTTAATTATAAAGAAAGTAGAATATACTAATATAAAAGTTAAATTTGTGGAACTGATGAAACAATTCTCATTTACAACAGTCTTACATATTCTTTTTGTATCTTAAAATGAAAAATGAATTAAAAGAGTTTCTATATACTTAGATAACCATGTGTGTATGGTGCACAGAATGATTGGCAGCAAGGCTGGGACTGGAGGTTCATCAGGCTACCAGTATCTACGCTCAACTGTAAGGTAAGTTTAGGAAGCCAGCTTCAGTTTTTGTTATCATTTATGAATGACAAGACACATACAGTAACATATGCATATCAAAAATGGATAAAAACATGAATTATGTGGCATCTACATAGAGTCTTCTTAGTAATATTTCCAGAGCTAGACCGCAAACTCGGAGCCAAACCAAAGCCCGGTATGCCACATCACAGCCTTCTGTTCTGGACATCACATCACAGGAGGTTACAACGCTAAAGCTCAGGATGTTACAACACAGCCAACCACCCAGGATGTTGCAACACAAAACTCAGGATATCACTACACTAGATCTCAGGATGTAATCACACAACCCATTACCCAGGTCGTTATAACACAAAAGACTAATGGGCACACAGCCAGCACCTCAACTACTCAGGATGTTACGAAACAGCCAAACAATGGCTCCCACACAGCCAACCAATCCACCTACAGCAACTAAGCCAGCACTCCACACTAAGCCAGCACTCCACCCCCACCAGTATTTATAGAGAGACGGCAGCTCCGATCACACTTTGCTCGCATAGGCACAAAGCTGAAGACCCCAGCCTGAAGATGACGAGTGGGACCTCGTCGAAACGTCGCCAAGATACTCTCAATCTTACACAGGAAAAGACCTGAATATGCCAAGACCTGCATATATACATATACGTATACGTAAACGTATACGTATACGTATACATATACATATACATATACATATACATATACATACATACATACATACATACATACATACATATATATATATATATATATATATATATATATATATATATATATATATATATATATATATATATATGTAGTAAAAACAAATAAACACAAACACCAGGATAATATCAAACTAGGATTTGTTTAATAAAAATGCTGAGCTTTTGTCGGCCAGCACTGCCGACATCATCAGAGCATAGAAACAAGTCAATAGGAGTTTCCTTTTATAACACCGGCCGGTTTTGCGCACGGCTCTTGGACCTAGTCATTGGTCCATCTGATGTCTCTAATTGTTTCATTCTTGGAAGGCACGTACTCGCTGTTCCCTTGATGGTTTTTAAAGCCGCAATTCCCTTATCCAGTTTCTTTTCTCCAATCCCCTCCCTTGTGCACCCCCCACTGTCTGTCATCGCACCACCAATTTCTAGGGCTGCTGTTCCCCCCCTCCTTCCTTTTGCCCATCACTTTCTTCGTATGCCTCCCATCATCCAGATTTATTGTTCCTCCCTCCCCCTCTTTTTCGGCCGTTTCCCTCATCTGCCCACGGCTATCTGCTGTAATCTCAATGATTTTTAGGGTCGCTACTCCCCCCCTCCTCGTTTTCCCCAACCGTTGATTCGTTCGTGTGTTTCCAACCACTCCATTGTGTTACACGCTTTCACTCATTCCCTCTCCTCATTTCTACCCCAAAGCACAACCGTTCTTTCCCTGGAAGGCTGTTGGCAGGATGTGTATCCAATAAAGTCCTCTTGCTTTTTCGCTCCGCTGCTCCTGCGCATGCGTGTTTCTGAGATGGTCTGTCAAACGGGTCTGAATGTTTGTCCAGGAAGGCTCTGGCATGCCCGTTCCTGCCTCCACTCTTCTATTGGAGGACGTTGCCCCTCTCAGGGAATGCCCCAAGGCATGTTGAGAGCCTCCTTCCCGCCATTCACTCCGATCTTCCATCATCCATGATCCTCGTGCTTGCATCACCAAACTCTCTGCAAGATGTGCATTGAATTCTACTCCACCCTTAATTGGCTCTCTTGCTCTTCTTGCTCGTGTACAGACTCCCAAAGGGGAGTCCCCTGTTTTTTCTATCGCTATATCCCTCTGGTCCTGTAAAAGGTGAATGAGTTGCTTTCATTGGGAATCCTGGCGTTGTTTTTCCCACATTCTCAGCATTTGGTGTGCTGGGCAGAGTTCTATATGAGTTTGGTGATTTGGAGGTTTATAGAGTTCTCATCGGAAAGCCAAGCCTCTTTGAGTAGGCGGCCTCCCTTGGTGGTATCTCCAGACAAAACCTGTGCATTAGCAAGATCAAATGTGTGGCCAAAATTGGTCATGTGGGTCCACACCTGTGAATGTTGTTCGTGTCTTTTAACAGCCAGCGGGTGTTCATGCACCCTGGTCTTTAACCTCTTAGACGTCTCCCCAACGTAGTTGCAAGAACAGTCCTTGCATTGGATTCGTTGCAGGAACAGTCCTTGCATTGGATTCGTTGGGGAGGGGGTCTTTTGGATGCATGATTCTGGCGCGTAATGTCTGGTCCGGTTTATGGGCCACTTTGACATTAAAAGGAGCTAAAAATCTAGCTGTTGCCTCCGACACATTGCCAATGTATGGCAGGGGGATACGTACGGGTTGAGTTGTTGTTTTGTCAGTTTGTGGATCTTCCCGAGGTCTGGGTGGTCTACTGCAATGCCTAACAAATTCAACTGGGTAACCATTATACTTACAGACCCGGAAGAGGTGGTTTCTTTCCTCGGTTTTCACCCTGGCTGTATTACAGTGTGAGCCTATGCGTTTGAATAACGTCCTGACGCAACTTACTTTATGGGCCACTGGGTGGTTACTTTTATAGTGGAGGATTCTATTGGTGTGAGTTGGTTTTCGGTATACTCTCGTGTGCAAGGACCCATCCAGTTGTCGACTAACCAGTACATCCAGGAAAGCCAGGGAACCTTGATTCTCCTCCTTTTCTGTAAAACCAATATCTGGGTATACCGAATTCAGTGTGTCCATAAAGTTAACCCTGTCGCATCTCTTAATGACAACAAATGTGTCATCTACATATCTGGCCCAAAACATAGGTTGATATTTAGTCATTACTATGGCCTCCAGCCGTTGTAGGACCGTTTCCGCTATTATACTCGAAATAGGCGATCCCATTGGCATCCCTTTGACCTGTTCGTATATGGTTCCTTGAAAGATAAAGTATTTTTTTAGGCATAGCTTTGTCAATTTTATCAAATCCTCGGTATGAAGAGAGTCTTGATGCTGTCCTTTTCCCTCTTCATTCAGGCGATCCTTCAGCACCATGATCGCCAGATCTTGTGGGATGGAGGTGAAGAGTGAGGTGACATCAAATGACACCATCACTTCATCATCCTCCACTCTTAGGGATCCAATTCTTTCAAGAAACTCCTCTGCTGATCTTACTGTGGTCGCGTTATTGTCCACTAAGTGGCTGATCTGACCACTCAGCCATTTGGCTAACTCTGAGGTTGGTGTACCTTTAAATGAGACGATGGGGCAGAGGGGGACTCCTTTTTTGTGGACCTTTGGTAGGCCGTAAAACCTGGCCATGCCTGAGTCTCCTGGGCGTATCCTCCTTAAGGTGTCTTCGTCCATCTTCTTACTGTGCTTAAAATTATTAAGGAGTTCATTGATACAATTCTTAAGTGTGGTCATGGGGTCTTTGTTGATGACTTTATATACTGTCGTGTCATTAAGCAACGTCAAGATTTTATCTGTATATTGTGCTCTATCCATAACTACCATCGGTCTCCCCTTATCCGCTGGTAGGATAACGATAGTACTGTCCTTCCTCAGCTGTTCCAAAGCCTCCCTCTGCTCTCTGGACAGTATTTGACAGTGCTTATGGTTTATCAATAGCCCCGTGACCCATTGTCTGATGGAATTTCTGACATCATCCTCCACCTCGATCAGTTGTATGGCGGGTTATAATGCCGCTACAAAATCCAAAGCCCGCGCATCCGCCAAGTTATGTCCCATGTCCTGTTCGAGCAAGGTGATCTGTTGTCGGGTCAACGCTTTGGAAGATAGGTTGTAAATGAGTTTATTAGTATGGTTACAGCCATCCAGTGTCCGTAAGATGTCTGTTTTTCGTTGAAGTGTCATGGTCGTCTGTCGGCTCACCCTCCTGGTGGCTTGATGGATGTGGCAGTCCAGCGCCCAAAAATGTTGGTGTGTTAGCGTCATATTGCAGCGCTCTCGATGTTCTCGGGCCCATGTCTCCAGCCCGTCTATCTGTCTATGTTGGTCACTAATCAACGCACGCATGGTGCGATGCTGAAATTGATGGACAGCCAGCTGACATTCCATGGAGTCGATCATGGGTCTCCTCCTCAGCGATTTGGGAGGGAGGTCCTCTCGAATGCAGCCATGCAGGAACTCTAACTTACGATAGTTGATAGATATCTGTCGTGCCAATTTCTCCCATTTCCTCACATGGAGCAATACTGCTCTATCATAACTGTCTACAAAACCTAGCCAAATTTCTCGCCAAACAACTACAACCCTATGCAGAATCCATCACCTCACACGTCAAAAACTCATTCCAGTTCATAGAGATCATAAAGAAACAAAACTTACAGCCCAGTGACCTACTCGTGAGCTTCGATGTCATATCCCTCTTCACCCAAGTGCCAATCAAAGAAGCCTTGACAGCTATCCAA